TTTTTGTCATAAATATTTATTTGTTGATAGACACTTTTCTAGGTTCTGATTTCGACGGACGTCAGCGTTGAATAACTACCAGTGTTGGCGCGAGTTTTTAACAATGAAAAAAACTACTTCTTAAGTCATGTATATGCATTTGTGTGTAGCTGGTGGTTCCGCATGACACTGGCACCGGTGTTCGCGCCACTCTTCGCTGCTATAACTCACCAAATAATCGCTTAAGCGCAACATTGATAAGCGAACGCTGATTGCTAGCGATCAGGCATACCGCAAAAGTAAAAGAAAAAAATTAAGGTGAAAAATAATAAAATTACAAAAGTAGGCAAGAAGCAAGAAATTTGCTATTTCTCATTTAAGCGCTACTTGAGATAAAGGAGATAAAATCTTATTAAAATTTAATAATTTACAAATAATAACAGACAAATACTACATGTTCAATTCGATTTTCTTAAATTTTTAATTTATTAGTTAAGAAAATGTAAGTCGATTTAAGTTGATTTTGAATATTTGCGCTATTCTTCAATTTATTCGAGATACAAGTAACTTTTTTGATCTAAAATGTTTTCATAGAACCAGAAATTGCACTTTATCTTAACAATATTGGAGCTGATATGTACTCATATGCTCAAAATTTCACTAGAAATCAAAAAGTCTTACTCAGCATTACTCTACTTAAGCCAATTTAACGCAAAATCATAGAAATATAATTTTTATAATAATATATAATGCTTTGCTTTAAGTTAGTTATATTGCTGCTCTATAAATATTTTTAAAGTTCTCACATTATTTTCCGTGCGCCAATGTAGCAGCCCACGTAAATCGCGATGTGACAGCTGAGAGCTTAAAATGAAAACAAAAAAAAAAAAAGGAATTAAAAAGAAGAACTGTAAAATAAAGCATGAAGCGTAAAGTCCCTGGACACTAGATATGAGCAGCTAATTTGGCAAGCAATTACGCATATTTTAAACAATAAAAAATAAAGGCAAAACAAAGCGCAGCTGAGTGGCGTTAGAGATACGAGTTAGATAAGGCACATTCGAAAATAAAATGTGCGTATAAGTGTGTGCTTAACGACTTTAGTTAGTTGGGTGTCGCGTGTGGTCAAAACATACATATATATAT